ATAGTATACTCAAAAAAACTTTTCTTTTACAAAAAACAATGTGCGAATCGCATGTTTACACAATATATATTTATTTTTTGTTTAGCGTTTAGAACAAATACTTTTCCTTGGAAACAGAAAAAAAAGCGTTAATATTCTGTTAACATGCAACAATTTGATTATGTGCTCTATAGCACATTTTTAGGCTTTAGGCAGTGGCTTTGAAAAACACTTTAGTAATGAGTAACATTTGTTTTCAAGTCCTTTGGTAAAATAGTTTGCACTTCTATCATTGCTCAAGATTCTTCAGCTCCAATTTTCAGGTATAGAGGGACATTTAAAATAAAAAAAAAAGTAATAATGGTCCATGTAATAATATCTGAAAAAAGAATGATCTATATTTCTGACATCAAGCAGCCAAACTCCATTTCACAATGCAGATGTAAAACTGAAAGAAAGTCTGATTGGTTATAAGTCAATAAAATCAATATTGTTTTCACCCTTATTTTTCATTTTTTTAATCTTCTAATCAATATGACTGCGGCATTGTGTAATTATAGTGTATAGGATTAGGATTGGGCAACCTGAGGAGAAGTATGATGCAGCACACTACATGTGCCACTGCAAGCTGAGGGTATGGTCAAATTGTGCTTAAAAGTGGTGGGAGTTTAACCCTTTCATTGCCGACCCCGCCCCCCTTTTTTTATTTGCGCAAACATGATAAACTACACATTTTAGGACTGAAGATTGCTTGAACCCCCCAAAACCTTATTTCTTTTATAAAAGCAGAGACTCTGTAGAATAAAAATGGTGGCATTGCAATTTTTGTCACACAATAATTGCATTATTCTTTATTAAATCTCTGTTTTGAGTAAAAAGTACACTCAATTTAAATTTAAATGTGTGCAAACACAACATAATATCCATTTTTTGGGAACGTATAAAATATGAACTTGCATTGAGTCAAAGATACCGTAGGTGATGCTTTAAATGCCTTTAGAGCTCACCAATTTACAGTCAACAGTTAATGTTAATAGGATTATTGCTCTCACTGCAGCACACAGGTTTAAAGCTAACATTTGTGTTACAGTTGTTGTTATTTACACGTGTGCAAAGTTATCTTTAAGGACCCATCAGGGGTCTATTAGATCTCTCATGTCACCTGTGCATTCTGTTTAAGCTGATGGAGCACAGACCATAGTGGTCAGGGTTTGACAGCTTTGAACGCAGCATTCAAAGTTTTGCAGAAGTGCTTAGCATTGGGCACTTCTGGGTCCAGACTTTACAACAGATGTTCACTGATCTCCCACTGCTCTCCATCCTGACACACACCATGGTGGACCTGGGCATCCAGGAGGGACAAGTAAGCATGGGACACATGACATGGAGTCATGGAGGGTTAAGTAGGAGGAGGGCGAAACATTCCCTACACTGTAGAAATGAATAGTCGGCAACCTGCAGAGAAAAAGTAAACAAATGTTTGTTCACATGCCAGCGCTGCCTCCATCATAAAAGTTATGTCAGTGGCAATGAAAGGGGTAAAGGGGCATAGTTAAATAAACTTGAGCTTCTCACTGTATACATTGCACACATATGCCACAGTCATTGCATCCACAAAATGTATTTTAATTACTGTGCAGGACTGCAGCATGATCATTTTATTAACCCCTTCACAACTGGAGACACACACTTGACAGCTGAAATAGCAGGACGGTGTGCACACTGCTCTTCTATTTCAGTTTGATATAATTGACAAAAAAGTGTTAAAAAAAGTGAAAAAAACGCAAATATTTTGCGCTATCTAAAGAATACTATGGGTAAAGCCACAGATACTGCTAAAGTAAAGTGTATACAAACATCCTAAAATTCACTGGAGATTGCCCTTACAGAGCCCTTCTTCAGAAAAGCTTGCATGCTTGTTTCCTCCATGTTTTCTTGCTGTCTTCCATGTTATCTTGCTCTCATGATGATCTTCTTGCTCCAGTACTTTAAATACATGACCCAGAACAAGTATACAGTTAAAGACTCCTGACTATTCCCTGACTTTCCTGATCTGCATGTTTGCTGTGTATCGTGGACTATGAAAGTAATGTATTATGGTCTGGGGGTCAGCATAACAGCCAGTCAAATAGTACTTCCAAGAGTTTAGAAATGGTAGTTCCTTGTAAGTGCACCTAGTGCACTGTCATTGCCTTATTCATGTCCTAATCCATTTTGATTAAGAAAAGCTTTGATACTTCTGGTTAGTGGCCCATCATATACAGTAATGAGCTACCTCCCTGGCCAATAGAAAGATGAGGGAGATAGGCAAGAGTGTTGCTTGGCAATACTACAAGTGTAAAGCTTTTATTTCCCTATATACATGGAATAACTTTAATTAATGTTGAAGAAGCTGAATACAGACTACACTATGCCATGTGAGATACTTGGTACTTTCAAAGTAACCAGTTTTTTGATTATTGCATGTTATTTAATTGATGTATTTTCACTTCTTGTCCTGGATACCCAACAGGAAGTGAAATTAAATTGTAAGAAATAAGGGTTGATTTACTAAAGGCAAATAGGCTGTTCACTTTGTAAGGGAATTACAGGCACTTAGCAGGGGAGTTTGCCCTTTTAGTGAATGAGGGGAAGCCCCGCTGACTTCCATCACCTAGTCATGTTCAAGAAGAAATGCTATTTTTTATTTTCCTGGCACATTATTGGGTATTCTTTACATAGTGAAATTTCACCACATTCACTAAGCTAAGGGAAACTTTCACTGCAAAGTGCAAATTCCCTTACAAAGTGAACAATCTATTTTTCCCTCACTTTTTGTTTTGGTTACAATTGTCAAAAGAAGGGTGAATCTCTCCAGCAAAAACAGGACAAAAAGAGAAACTTAATAGAGGGTCTAAGCCACGGATGTCCAAACTGCGGCGCTCCAGCTGTGATGGAACATACACTTTACATACACTTAGTTATTTTTATATACTCCATAAAAGCAACAACCGAAAGACGGTAAATGCTTAGTGATTTTAGGTATTACAGTCCATAGAGCTACTATTTAATACAACTTTTAATACAACTTTTTACAACTAAACCGATGTAAGTACATATGTAATGAATAAACTGTGGATTTCTCCCCCAATCACTATACTGCAACATATACAATGGTAATAAAATAGAATGTCCTACAGGTAATGTCTACATTTAAAGCCTTGAATGTTTTTCTGTGCAACAGTTGCATCTCTACAAAAAGGAATTGGGAACCACAATCAACCTTACAAGTTCAAGAATGATATAGGAGTCTATTCACAAAGCTGCTGTAGGCAGCCGAGTGAACAACCGAGCTGAAATGAAGTGAGCCGAACACTGTTCGGCTTTTCACTTCAGTCTTGTACGGCTGATTTCAGCCGTATATTGGCTGAAATCAGCCGTACATCGGGTGGCTTCGTGTCGGCCAAATATGCTCAGCATGTTCGGCCAACCCGAAGTGCAGAAGGAGTTCGATTCAGCTGATCCAACATCTGGATCGGCTTAGCCGCACCTCCGGCAGGCTACTCGCTGCTTTTCGGCCTATTCTCATAGATGCCGTACAGCAGTGAGTGAATAGCTCTGCTATTCTGCTCGGTACCTCTGTGGTACTGAGCAGAATAGAAAAACAGTTAAAAAAGTAGAAAAAACAAAAATGGAAAATGATTGGGCGAAGCTAGCAGTGACAGCTAGCTCCGCCCAACTGTTTTCTATTGGCCAGGACCAGTTGTCATTAGAATTAGAGCTTGTTGGAGCCGGCGGGGGTATGAAAGCCGACTGTGCTAAGCTCTCATCCTAATGACAGAACAGCATCTCCTAGTAACCAGCAGACGCTGTTCTGTCATTAAGATGAGAGCTTAGCAGAGTCCGCTTTCATATCACTGCTGGCTCTTCTAAGCTCTCGTCGTAATGACACATGGCATCCCTGGTAACCAGGGACGCCCATGTGTCATTACGATGAGAGCTTAGGAGAGTCGGCGGTGATATGAAAGCTGACTCTGATGACCTCTCATGGTACTGACAGTTCAGCGTCCCTGGTTACCTGATATCACAGCAGATCCTCCGGGTTCTCAGTGTAATGACAGATGGGTGTCCCTAGTTACCTGGTAATCAGGGACGCCCATCTGTCATGAAACACTGAGACCCCGGAGGAGCTGCTGTGATTTTACAGCGGCTCTGCCGGGTTCTCAGTGTACCTAGGAGCCGCAGTGTAATGACAGAAGGTGTCCCTGGTTACCAGGTAACCAGGGACGCCTTCTGTCATTACACACAGAACCTGGTGGTGCTGCTGTGATTTTACAGTGGCTCCGACGGGTTCTAAGTGTAATGTTAGAACGGTTACCTGGTAACCAGGGACACTGATGTCTCTGCAAGTGGCCTGAGCCATCCGTGAGATGACGGCTGGCTCCGCCCAACTGTCATAAGCAGGTCGTTTGGCCAGCTTCGAATTTCCCCTGGGCTTAGTCGAGCCGAAGCACATGCCTTTGACTGAGCCCCTCGGCCAACTTTGGTGGCTGTACGGGCTATAGTGAATAGCCCGTACAGCAGCCCTGAACCGAAGGGGTCCTGGGGCCAAAGCTACCCGAAGGATCAGCCAAAGCTATGGCTAGATCCTTCGGTAGCTTTGTGAATAGACCCCACAGTTTTGTTTTATCAATCAAATCATCAACATGACTTGTCCTTCCTGTCATAATGAGCTAGAATATTATGTTGAAATTTGGAAGATTGCTGGCTTACTTTATACTTTAAAGTACCCATTTATGACTTAATGCACCATATGATAATAATTCTGCAGCTGTCACCTGACAATTTACTGTATTCTCATGTAAAATTAATCAGTGCAGATGTTTTTAAAAAAGAGAAATCAACTTCATGTTGCTTGTGCTATATAGACGTGTTCTTTTCAAGGTTTTCTAGTTCTTAGTAATTTTTGGATTTATAAACAAAATATCATTCCTTTTTGGAAATATTTTTATATTTTGTGTATATTTCTTCTTTACTTACAGACTTGAATCTCCAACAAGATCGCTTACCATGGAGGCACCAAAAGGAGTACAAATTAGTGCTGTTGCAGGAGAATTCAAAGCCAGCTGCCGAAAAGAATTACAGTTACAGTCCACAGATGGGGAGGTCTTTATAAAAAGCATTTTATAATTCCTTTATACAGTTTTTTTTATATTTTTGGTTTGGCATATTAAAGTACATTAGAACAGTGATGCAAATTATACGTTCCCAAAGATAACAAAAAAGCCCTCCATTGCAGCTAAGTTAATCAACAATTTCAAATGAATAGTACGCTCAGCCACGTTTACATTGTTGAAGCCATGTTCCATCTCTTGCTCTGATAAGAGCTAATATACTTGCAATAGTATTATGTATGCTACAAAAATGGGACTTCTATTTTGAATGTATTTGTGCTATAACCCAGCACTTCTAGAAGCACAGATGACCAGAAGAAGAAATAAATAGCATGTAGCTGTAAATAATCCATCACACGTTCAATTCCAAGCAGCTACCAAGGTCACTGTGTTATAGCTCTGTCCCCAGGCATCATATATTCCTTTCTGTGGGAAATTAATTAGAAATCACATTTAGGGAGTATTTGAATTATCAGCTTGTATATTTTCAAATGACCAAAGCCTTTTAATATATATGTTTCTTTAAACTGAAGCCCGTAGCCCCTGTTTCGGGCATAATGCATTAATGAATAAATGTCAGGCTTAGAACAACATTTACTTTAGAGAATAGTTAGCCTATATGCAGCATTTAACCCCTCCCTAAAATTGAACTTTTCTTAGGGTTTGGCATTACAATGCCATCAGTGATTGTAAACCTGTACTCTGTTTAAAGAAGAACTCCAGGTAGAGAAAAAAGTGGGGCTGCCCCCAAACTGCAAGGGTTAAGTGTCAGCTTTGTGAGGGAGGCTTAAATAGCTTTGTTACTCCCTTGATTCTCAGTCCCACGGCGGTCAGCACTTGCCTCTCTCCCTGGCTATGAAATGTCCCTCAGTGTCCTCACGTCTAATTCAGGTCAATGTACCTGCATAAGATGTGATGATACCTCGGTAAAGAGGCTGTGGGAATTAGTCTAACAGCCCAGTCAAAAAAATTACAAAACAAGCAATTGTGTCTTGCAGTGCTTGGGTACCCCACTGCAAGGGTAAGATTTTTGTTTGCCCAGAGTTCTTCTTTAAAGCAAACTAAGTCATGCTGTACAGCTGGTACCAAAAGGTGCCTTTCTAGCATCCCATGTGATCAGGCCTATGTATGTATGTATTTATGTATGTATGTATGTATGTATGTATGTATGTATGTATGTATGTTATGGTGCCAGCTGTACATTATGACTGCTGGTTTGCTTTCTTTTAAAATAGGAACAGTTTTCTTTAGGCCACCTATTCTTTACAGTTGTCATATGTGGTAGTCAAACGGGTCTATTCACTAAGCTGCCGAGGGCAGCCGAGTGAACAACCGACCCCAAGTGAAGTGAGCCTAACACTGTTTGGCTATTCCCTTCAGGCTGGTACGGCTGATTTCAGCCGTACATCGGCTTGCTTCACATGGCTTTGGGTTGGCCGAACATGCTCAGCATTATTCGGCTGACCTGAAGTGCAGAAGGAGTTCGACTCAGCCGATCCATCATCTGGATTGGCTGAGCCGAACCTCTGGCAGGCTACTCACTGGTGTTCGGCCTATTCTTATAGATGCCGAACAGCAGTGAGTGAATAGTCGAATGCCGCTGAGCGGCATTCGGCTCGGCTGTTCTGCTCGAGCAGAACAGGACAATAGTTTAAAAAGTTTAAAAAAAGTAAATAGCAGTGACAGCTAGCTCCTCCCAATAGTTTCCTATTGTCCGGCGGCTATGCTGCCGTCAAAAAAGAAGAAAAAAAAATGCATTGCTACATTCCTATTGGCTATTTCAATTTGCAATAGCCAATAGTAAACTAGCATTGTATCCGCCCTCTGCTGATGGACCTGATGGAGAACTGCAGCAGAGGGCGGGTACAATACTAGTTTACTATTGGCTATTGCAAATTGAAATAGCTAATACTGTAGTAATGTAGCAATGCATTCCAATGGGATTTTTTTTTCTATTCTATCGCTCCGTGTCAGAATAAAGAAAAAAAAAGAAACAGCAGTGTTTCTCTCCTTGGCGGCCGGGAGTGGGAGACTTCCAGGGAGCCAGGGAGAGTTTGCAGTCTGGAGATCAGTGTCCCTGGTTAGCTGATAACCAATGACGCTGATTAAACATCAGAGGAGGTAGTTAGCTGAAAGCAGGGGTCAAAATTAGACATGTGCGATTCATTTCGTTCGGTATTGTAATTTAGACAAATTTTCAGATGCATACAAATTTCCAAATGACAGAAATATCGAATGTGAACAAATCTGAATTTCCAATAATTAAAATTTCAGATCCATCCAAATGTATTTCCCGAATTAAGTTTTATTATGTGTACTTTTTCCTGAAGGATAGATTTGCGCCCTGCTTTTTGGGACATTATCGTTAAAGATTTCAGCAATTTTATGGTATGATTTAAAAATTGGCTACTGATTAGTTTTTCTAAATCCAAAAATGAAATAATATATTAAGTCATTAAATAATATATCATTTTAATGCCCAAACACTGGTTGAAATTTGAAACAACATATACAAAAATAAATGGTATATATTTAATCATTTAATCTGACTTTTTTGTTCCAATTTTGTGTTGATGCAACTAACATGAAATAAGGGTCAACAAAAAGTTACATAGGAATTCTCTTTTGACTATATTAAAATGTTTACAATACTTCTGTTTTTTACAGATATTTTTAGATGCAGATAATATCAGACTAGGAAATTTACCACAAGGTTCCTTTACATCATCATCATCAAACTCAGTAGGACCTCGACAAACTGTCTATGAGCTTTGTGCTTGCCCAAATGGCAAACTGTACCTTTCTCCAGCAGGATCTAGTTCCACATGCCAATCCAGTAGCAACATTTGTCTGTGGAGCTGAAGGAACTCCATAATTTCTCACACCAGAATAGCCTTTTGCTACTATCTCTTTGCTTCACAATTTTACTCAGATTCCCATGTGGTTTGTTGAATGCTTAATGGCCTTCAGAGTTTCTTCCAGCATAGAAGAGGATATAATACTGCCTTGAAGTTTTATTTCAACATTGGAAACAATCCTGCATTGAGATGGATGTGAAAAATTCAGACAATTATACCTGAATTGCTGAATGTTAGTCTTAAAGGATTCAATGGGTGCCTTGGCTACATGGAGTGAAGCACATCGCTGTTGCAGGAATTTGGAGAAATGGAACAACACCTCATTCACGAGTGTACTTGCTGGACATTTGTTTGGGAAACAATAAAATCCTGTTTGGAAATGAAAAAAAAAAAGTCTATACTGTTTTAAAGCACAATTTTCCATTCAATATTTTTGGATGTATACTTTTATCCCACAAATGAAATAAATATTAAAGGTATTATGTGATATCACCTTTATTAAACAATTAAATTGGAAATATTGTTTTTAAAAACAGATGTTTATTTCTTTCTTGGGCTCCTTACTTAGATTGTTTAATTATATATCATTTTATACACAAAAAATGACAATGGTAGTCAACAAAATTCAAGACAAATTAGAATTCTTGTTTAATTTGCACTTGTTATTTTAAGAATTAAGAAGTAATATAGCAATTTTTGAGCAATACAAATAGTTAAAAAAGCTTAGTACAAAAATAATGTTATTTCTTTCTATTTGTTAGTAACCTCTTTTATACTTTTTAGTTATTTTTTTTATTTACACATCATTGATGTAACAGCTTTAATTACATAACATTAAAAATGACTCTTAGTTACCGTATTTTGCGGTCCATAAGACGCACCGGACCATAGGACGCAGGGAGGTCCGGCGCGCCTTATGGAGCACTCGAGACTGTAGCTTCTGTGACAGCTTCTATGACAGAAGCTGTGACAGAAGCTGCAGTTAGTGACCGTTGAGACAGGTGGCGCTGTGATTACAGCGCCACGGTCTCAGTGATGACACAGAGCAGGCGAAGACCGTCTATTCTTCGTCTGCTCTATGGTTATCTCGATCGTCGCCGCTGCTCGGTTTTAATACGAGTGATCTCATTAGATCACTCGTATTAAACGAGCAGTGGCTCCTGCTACTGATCTCGATCGCCGCCGCCGCTGCTAGGCTTTAATACGAGTTATCTCGTTAGATCACTCATATTAAACGAGCAGTGGCTCCTAATACTCGCCCGGTGCCCGAAACTGCATGTCTCGGGCGTCGGGATTTGCTCCATAAGACGCAGGCACTTTTTCCCCCTCCTTTTGGGGGAAAAAAGTGCGTCTTATGGAGCGAAAAATACAGTAATTTCAGTATTTTTATTTGTGTATTTTTCAATTTTTTTTCTCTTATGCTCATTTAAATACATTTTATATTATTTCTTTTTATCCCAAGTAGTTGTCATTATATTGGAAATGTGATTGCCATCTTCATCACATCACACAAAATATCACCTACTCCATAAAATAAACTGTGTTGTAGGGGAAAAGACATGTGGAATTTAAATTCAACCATATTAAACATTTTTTTTAACAATAAAGTAATAAGAATTATGGAAAAAAATAAGATGGTAAAATGAAGTATATACAACACAAAAAAACAGGTTCACAAGGAATAACATTGCCTATTAAGATAAAAACAGTTTTTAATTTTCTTGTCCAACAGATTTTGTTTTATTTTCAATATGATTCTCCAATAATATTTTGTAATAAATCCTACAAAAGCAGGTGTATGTATTTTTTTTATTATTTACCAGAAGTAATTTCCCTTTCCAATAATTAATGCACATCAAGCACATCTGGGTAGATGTTTTTACTTATCTAAATAGGAAATAATTTTGGTAAATCCTATAAACCTTCCTTGAAGATACAGTTAATTATATATTAAGTAAAATTAATATATTCTGCTACATAAATATAATTCAGGAACTGTGGGATACATTTATCGGACTGATTACATTTTTCACTTCAAGACTAATTATCTAAATTAATTTTCAGATACATTTTCAAGGGAATGCAAATAGAGGAAAGTTATTTTTATTTCCCCCAGTGTGATTTCCATAAAAGTTACTACATAAATGAGTATGCAACTGCAGTTAAAATTTGTTTAAAAGTTGTTTTGGCTATGTTTGTCAACCTTTTACCATTTTGCTTTAAATCTCAATTTAAACAGTGACCAAGTAATTGGGCTGTATGGTCATCATTTTTATTCCCCAAACTGGTTGTGTTGTAAAATGTGTTTAATGATAACAAAATTTTATTCAGTACATCTAGAAAACACCATCAGACAATACAACATGCAGACATATCATCCTTAAAGGGGCAGTATAGTTTTTTAACTTCATTTTTTTCTTAGCTATACACGTGGAAGAGAACAACTTGAGGAAAACATTTCTTATCAATTTGTGTAATTAATTAATGTAATAAAAGGTTTTTAGTGAGTCAATACTAATGCTATTGCCCCCCTTATTTCATGATTTGAAAAAACTGACTCTTAGCTGGGATGCTCCGAGACCATGTGACCTATACTACCAAGGTACTTAAAATAATGATGTGACTTAATAATGCTGACTTGTGCCCTATCAATTTATGTGAAGTGTGATTTGCAAAGATAGATTCACTTTAATATAATTATACATCAGGATTAGTGTCATTATACTAACATAAACAAATGCCTTATTTCTGTATTTCAATGTGTTTATTAAATTACAACTAATGGCATAATCAGTTACTAATAAATAAGATAATACTTCTAATTTGTGTTAGTAGAGATACTGTTCATAAACAATAACTGTAGACATAATCATCTATAAAATCCCAGATCTACGAGCACAAAACCACAAAGAAATTATAAAAAGTAATAACTGTAGCAGAAAAAAATAAATATACTAGTAAAAAGCCATTATGCCAAGATAATCATTTTGATTTAATGACCTCTATATACATTGATAAATTGATAAATGCATTTTCACCACAGTTGCTAAGATAGGAGAAAATGTCCTTGCAACATGAACAGTCTATTTGCCTTTAGTAAATCCACACTTTACAGGGTTATTCACAAAAATGTGAAGAGTTTGGAGAAGGCAGGAGACGTGAACAATCTAGGACAACATAGTTGATTTGGAAAAACTCTCCAATTCAGCTCACTTTCCAGTTCAGCGATGTTGCCCTAGACTGTTCACTTCTCCTGCCTTCTCCAAACTCTTCACCCTTTTGTGAATAGCCCTGTTAGTCTCAAGGTGCATAATTTGAATGCAGATGGAATTTAACTTAATATTTCTGAAAGAGTATATAGATTTTTGGAGTTTAGTGCCCTTAATGCACATACCAACATACCCTCACATTAGTCCATATAAATATTCTTTCACAGTGTCCCATGGCATTTTGTTTCTCAAGTTGTAAAGACACAGTACCCCATTTACCTTCACTTTTCTTATTGATGTAGGCTTCTGTACTGTATCCATACCCTTTATTTAATCTTCTTCTTGCACTGTTCTCCTATTTTTTCACTGTCTACAAGTTATTTTGCTTTTCATCACCAATGGTAAACCAATGATAATCACAAAGACCTCCTATATTTACATACTGTTTATCTTAACTAAGATATAGGTCTTCTGTATAGTTGTTTGTTTTCTCTGTCAACTTTTTGCATTCAAATTGGCTCCCTAATGCTACTTTAGTAAGCACATCCCTATAATTGCTGCTGCCTTTAGCTTCTGAATGACCCTGTAGTTTTTAAAAAGTAAATGTGTTTGCTGCTGAAGAACCACCCTGAAACCACTGCATCCTCAACCACACATAACAGGGCATGACAAGAAAAAGAAAAGAAACTTCAGACTCTCACTGCACTGGATCCTATAAATAAAGATTGAGGTAAGGAGTGGCATTTCTGAATTTAGGAAAATTCAATCAAGGGTTGCTGGCTGAAAGGGTGCCAGCAGTGGCACCTACTGTGCAAATGTTGTCTGGTTCCTCAAACAACCGAAATTCACACGGTGTATGGCCACCTTTACAGAGGATTTTGTGATACTCATGCGACTGGCTCTATTCACATGTGTGAAAGGGGCCTTCATTTTCCTTTTTGAAATAGCAAACAAGATAATTAAAAGATAAGATAAAGGTTTAAGTGCAGAACTGAGGTGAAAAGCAGGACAGAGGGATTTGGTTCCAAATGAGGGACATTTGTGAGGTATAGGAGTGACACTGAAAAAATCAAGTACCCTGAAAACAAATGTATTTATGTAAATGTGGTTCTATCTTTTAGCATATTCTGAATGTGTTCAGTATAAACTGAATCACAAAGAATATTTATTCTCCTTATAAAATGTCAGCCTTGCGTGTTGTCATTTGCATTTTTAGTACTTTTCCAGAGGAGATAACAAAGCATATATGAAACAATGCACAGGTTTTCAAAATGAGGTATCTGTTCGCAGTTTTAAAACATGATAAACCAATGCTGTCTCTAAACATTAATGCACTTTTTTTCTATTGACTGCTTTGTGTAATGTTGCTAGGTGAACATAATTACTGTGATAATAGAAAGGTAAAAGAAGGATCACAAACTATTAAAAATGCTCATTGGTAACCTTGGAGAAAGATTAGGAGAATCGCAAATACAAATAACAATTGTGCAACTATTTTTTTCTTTTTTTGGGGGGGTCTCAGGCTCATATTTAAGTGTTTATTTACTGTCTATTTGCCTATGTGAGGATATTGTCTTTTTTAACTATACTAAAAACATCTTACAATTATAAAACAAATCCAAACAAGGTGTATTATGTGACCATTTTGTTTTGCATATGCATAAGGCATTCTCAGACTAAAACAAAGATAAGTAGAATTATACTGCATTTTTATACTACTGTCCACAATCTTTCCTAGTCCTCCTCACCATATTTGCCCCTGCTATTGGAGAAATTGTAAGCAGAAGAAGGGGAAGATGCAGGATGAGACTGAGGGAGCTACAATAATCTATGACCTGCCATGTATTGCCCTTTTTTCAGACAGTGGCCTGATGTACATAGAGCGGAGTCAGAAACTCCATGCCCTAGGCATCTGGAACAGATGAAGGCAGAGGTCACAGAACTTTTGGGCGTTTATTCACAAAGCTGCCAAAGACAGCTGAGTAAATAACTGAGCCGAAGTGAACTAAGCCGAATGACGTTCGGCTATTTACTTCAGCTTAGTATGGCTGATTTCAGCTGTACATAGGCTAACATCAGCTGTACATCAGCCGAAGTGCAGAAAGAGTTCGACTCAGCCGATCCAACATCTGGATCAGCTGAGCTGGAGCTCCGGCAGCTCACTCACTGCCATTCGCCCCTATTCTCATAGGGGCCAAAAGGCATTGAGTGAATAGCTAAATACCGCCGAGGTAGCAAGCAGATTAGACAAAATGAAAAAAAAATGTTTACAAATAATTTAAATAAATGTAAAAAAAAGAAAAATTAAA